ACCTTGAGTCCCATATTTCAGCTGGAATTTATTAATTACAGCTATACTGATGTTTATGCTAGCAAAAAACAAGAAGAAATCACAGATATAAGATGCCTTTTACAGATAAATGTTCCACTTAATACAAAACACAGCTGCAAGAAGCTATCCGTATTATCCTGATGTTATGTGTTTGCACTGTTGGGCAGATAAGAAAACACTATAATGACTCTGTCACAGTCAGTTCACCTTTATGGGCCTTACAGATATGTTTCCAGGTGTTTGTTTTTTGTGTTCCTTAGCAATATTCCGTGCATTGGCTGGAACCCAAACCAACACTGAGATCCGAGCTTGTCGCTACTTGCTGTACAGAATTGCATAATATCGGCTGCAATGCCCAAACGTACCGTAACTGTTAAGTCTTCTTCTCCCTGATTGTCACTCGCTCTGTTAAAAGCCTTTCTGTGTGCAGGGATTACTGTTCCTGTATGAGATAGCAACAGGTTTTTACACACTAAAAGTATTCTTGCCAACGTTTAATTTCACCAGAGAGCAAAACTTAAATGCACAAAAATCATTTCGGTACAAACACAACACGGATGTTTATTGATGCTCGTCTTCTCCGCCGCCTCAGGCCGACTTAAACTGCAACATCCAGGACGACACCGGATCGTTCTACGGCGTCACCAGCCAGTACGAGAGCTCGGAGAACATGACCATCACGTGTTCAACGAAGGTCTGCTCCTTTGGAAAGCAGGTGGTGGAGAAAGTCGAGGTATGGACGCGTTTTTTTTTTCCATCCCGGAGATCAGAGCGATGGCTGAAACTCTGTTTGACGTTTCCGTTTTTCTCCTCAGACTGAATACGCACGGTTTGAGAATGGACGCTTCGTCTACAGGATAAGCCGGTCTCCCATGTGTGAATACATGATCAACTTCATCCACAAGCTCAAACACCTGCCAGAGAAATACATGATGAACAGCGTGCTGGAGAACTTCACCATCTTATTGGTAATCACAGTTCTGACCCGAGTGGGCCACGTCCCTCTCCGGGGATTCTCATTCTTCGTCTCCTCGCTGTCAGGATGTGTCGGTGGCTCCAGCTGGCTTTAAAAAAACAAAACAAAACAAAAAAACCACACCGGGGGGGTTTGGCGAGGCCTTGAGATGAGTTCCTCTCATTGGTCTCACATTCCTGCCATTCCACAGGGGATGAAACACAGTGTGAGGAGCCTCATTATCTGCAGGGGAAAGGCAGGATAAGAGAGGGCAGGAACCCCTGTTATGAGCCATCACATGGGGTCTTAAAGCGTCATTCAGCACCACGGAGAAAGCAAGAAATAAATAAAACGACAGACATAGATCCGCGTGTGGGGGTAGACAGCAGCAAGGGCTTCCTTAAAGAATCGCTCGTGATCTTTAAACCAAGTCTTTTTTTAAGCTGAAGAGGTTTTTCTAACAGGATTTTAGAGCTGGTCATAGATTATAAACCACTTGTTTAAAGGCCAAAGAGCGCACCGAAAGCATAAAACCTGCAATGTCAATAAAAGGCTGTTTTGTGCATTTTGCTGTGTTTCCGGCATTTAAATGAGTCCTGTCGGAAGGTTGTTTCACCGAGACCTACACAATTCGGTGGGCATGTGTAGCAGGTCAGGACCANATCTGCGTTTGGCTATGCACCACGGCTCTGAGGCTTGCCAGACCACAGTTTTTATCCACTTTGCAAACCCAAACCCATACATCCTCAGCTGAAGGCTTCAGAAACAGAGCTGAAGTAAATGTTGTTGTAAATAAAAACACCTTTTATTCTGTACTGTTAATTTAATTATAGAAGTATTGCACTTCACGTGAACTACGAGTGAGTTTAGCTCATCTCCTGTTAGCTTGTGAGACAATAATTTATCTTCCTGTGTGGTTTTTCCTAATTTAAGGCTTGAGATGGATCCGTCTTGGTCCTAATTCGTAGCATCACAGATAGAATGTGGGTGAAGCCCTGCTTTGTTTAATACAAACTGACATTTTTGTGACTTTGCACATAAATAATGAATTCATTTTAGTGTGAAATGTGTAAATAATTCTGCATTTTTATTGGAAACAAAGAGTGTCGAAGCCACTGAATGCATTCAGGCCGACATCAACAAACCTGACTCCTAACAGACAAAAGAGATCCCTCATATGACAGGGGCCAGTTTCTATCCACTTTGCAAACCCAAACCCAAACATCCTCAGCTGAAGGCTTCAGAAACAGAGCTGAAGTAAACGTTGTTGTAAATAAAAACACCTTTTATTCTGTGCTGTCTTTTTAATTTGTTGTTGTTGCACAAATATTGCACTTTAGCTCATCTCCTATTAGCTTGTGAGACAATAATTTATCTTACTGTGTGGTTTTTCCTAATTTAAGGCTTGAGATGGATCCATCTTGGTCCTAATTCGTAGCATCACAGATAGAGTTTGGGTGAAGCCCTGCTTTGTTTCATACAAACTGCCGTTTTTGTGACTTTGCACATAAATAATGAATTCATTTTAGCTTGTAATGTGTAAATAATTCTGCATTTTTATTGGAAACAAAGAGTATTGAAGCCACTGAATGCATTCAGGCCGACATCAACAAACCTGACTCCTACCAGACGTCCTTAAAAGAGTTCCCTCATGTGACAGGGGCCAGTTTTTATCCACTTTGCAAACTCAAACCCAAACATCGTCAGCTGAAGGATTCAGAAACAGAGCTGAAGTAAACGTTGTTGTAAACAAAAACACCTTTTATTCTGTGCTGTCAATTTAATTCCAGAAATATTGCACTTCATGTGAGCAAAGAGTGAGTTTAGCTCATATCCTGTTAGCTTGTAAGGCAATAATTTATCTTCCTGTGTGGTTTTTCCTAATTTAAGGCTTGAGATGGATCCATCTTGGTCCTAATTCGTAGCATCACAGATAGGATTTGGGTGAAGCCCTGCTTTGTTTCATACAAACGAGGGGATGGGGTTTGTTTCTGGCTTTAGTGGAGCAGAATGTTATTGCCTAATTTGTACATCATAAAAACGAAAAGTTGCTCAAAACCATTCTGACAGACAAATAAAAAGGCGACGTTGCAGAGTGTTATTTCTCATCATCACAACGTGTCGTTACCGATCTAATCCTGGCCGCCGCTCGCTGATTATTACGACGGGTGTTTGTCGGAACTGGCTGGTTTTGCTTCAGTAAATCTTTCTGTGTCTTTCTGGATTTTGATATTTGTGTCGTTTTATGTGCCCGACTATTAAAATTCAAATCAGACAAATTAAAATACATAAAATATTTAAAATGTGTGTCTGATAGTATTTGTTTTGCTCTTTCAGTACAACAAGCATCTATTTGTACACATCGGCCAGACGAATCACTCCTACAGCGACGCCCTGCTGGAGTCCGTGGACATCCGTCAGATTTACGACAAATTTCCAGAGAAGAAAGGAGGACTGAAGGAGCTGTACGGAAAAGGCCCCCAGAATTCCTTCTTCCTCATAAAATTCTGGGTGAGTGTGATTCATCAGTACAGAGGATTCCAGCGTCGCAGCTTGATTATGTTTTACATATTAGTCTCATTTTCACTGTAACCTTTAGTGAAATATTTGAGTCCTGTTCGGTGGCGGCAGCAGCAGCAGCGTGTTCAGGTTTGTGTTCGGTGATTGGCTGTAATCAGTCTACACAGAGAAGATTGCTCTCTTAATGTTTGCAGAATGCACTCAGCTATATTTGGACTTGCATAGCAGGAGAGCTTTTGATCAAAGCACTCGCTAATTCAGTGTAATATCTCCAAACAATGGAGTGACCTGGTTGCACTCCTAATGGCTGTTTAAACATTGCATGTATTTCCTCCCTGATGCAAAATGCTAACTAGCGGCAGCCAACAAAGTAGGACCGTATGCACTTGGACCAAGTCCCTTAAAATTCCTTTTGAAGGGGCCGACAAATCTGAATTTCAAATGAAAGACAGAATCTGCACAATAATGAATGTATAACTGCTTTGCTTAATGAAGGAGGAGAATGTTGTAGAAGGATGTCTCCTCTTTTTGTGTCCATAATGAACAGGATGTTCAGGGCACAGAGAGGCTGCCCTCCAGGAGCAGGCCCGTTCAACCTTGTAAATCAGTCTTTTAACGTAACTTCATTTAATCCTCTTTAGAGTCTTGTTTCCAATATGGGCACATTAACATGCTTATTCAGATGTGGCCGAGATCTTCTCATTTGGTATGCGATGCACACAGATGATGATCTGAGCAGCTCTGTGATCAGACAGACGTGTTGCAGTCCTGGATGACACGCTAACTTCATACAGCCTGGACGTCTTCACTGTACGCTGTATGAAATTAACAAACTATTTTATACTAACGAGGACAAACAACAGCACCTGTCCAGTGACATGTGGTAATAAATACCACTGCTAGCTACATTTAAAGAGGCTACGATGGTTGTTTTTCTAAATGAGTCTGGAAGGAGTCAGTTCTGGTGACAAACCCAGAGACAATATTCCCACATCAGTAGCTCGTCTCGGTTTTATGAAGCCAGCAGCAGCTTCCAGACTCAGCTGATGAGTAGCTGGTGGGTCATTTATAAGCTGAGGAGCTGGAGATTTCCCTCACTGGTTGGTAGAGACTAAAAACAAAGGAGTGGAGTTGAAGCAGGAGAAATAACTCAGTGACACCGTTTATTAGTACCTACAGGATCAGTAAATAAGCTGTACACATATTTGCAATCATCTGTTTACTTTTTTTTTTTAAAGAAAATGTTGTAGGTTTACCTGAGAGACAACATTCACCTGTGAACAGCTCTTTCCTCTGTGTGGGAAAATATGGTGTTTCAAAATAAAAGCCTTTTTTTTTAGTAGTATCCTTTATTCTGTTTCCAATTTTCAGACAAAACATACTAAAGACCGCTACAATTTACAGCTACAGTCGTGACTCGACAATCCGACCCTTAACAATCCTAAACCTGCTATCCGACAGGTTTTTAGGAAAAACCAACAGAACCCATAAAAACAGCCTTAACATAGCGACAGCCTTGGATTGTGACTCCAACATGACATTTAACGTCACCAATCAGGATGACGGCGTATTATCTGACTGAACAA